ATGATGGAAGGAATAATAAATACTGATTTGTCTGGCTTGTTAAATTGTCTCCTGAACAAAGAGAACAAACAGGAAAATCTTCCTGTCTGCTCCTATGGGGAATCAATTACTTAGAGATGGGGATAACAAGGGAAATGTGCTAATGAGCAGACACAAGGAGTAAATATATCCTCTGCTGTATCCCTCAACCTGGGAAACCTTGGGCTAGCCAAGATGTGGTTGTTGCTTTTGGAATCATAACTCCTGCTGGCAAACCCATGTTTGACTCCATCCCACTGTAACATCTGGAAAAACACCTTCTTTCTCCATCATCAACTGTCCAAGAGGATTTTGACATCTATATTGAGACCTTCCTCTCAGAGACTCCACCCAGGTGAGTTCAATAGTCCAGTAAATACTGCAAGAGAAGGTGAAAGGGAATGCAAGGCAAGAACCTTTACCTGAGTTTACCTGAGAGGCAGTCCAGACTAACCCAGAGCTAAGATCACTGGAGTTGTTTTTGTGCTTAACAACTTAGTATATTAATTTATAAAGCCAGAAGTAAAAGGGAACATTAAACTCTACAGTGCAAATCTTTGGGCTATAGCCTGCCAGACTCCTCAGTCCATGGAATTCTCCAGGCAAGAATACTTAAGTGGGTTGCCATTTTCTTCTTCAGGGGATCTTCCTGACCCAGGGACGGAACACTTGTGTTCTGTGTCTCCTGAATTGGCAGGGAAATTCTTTACCATCTGAGACACCTGGTAAGCCCCAATAGTGGACATGGAAATTTAATCAGAAGAGGAAATGGGAGGTGTAACTTATTCCAGTTAAAGTAGAACTTAAGTCCAAGGACGTTTGCAACTAATTGAAAGAGAGGATCAGGGTGTTGTGTAGGCATGTGCAGTGATGTAAGTAAAATGTTTTTTATTTTTTTTATTTTTTTTTAAGACCCTACCCAAGAAATGCAGGCAAACATTACCTTAAAATAGCTGTTGTGACACAAGCATTTCACAATAACTCGAGTTAATATTCAAATAAAAAAATATTGTGTGAACATGGGAATGTTTACTGGCTTAGTTTGCAATCATTTCTCTACCTGTAAGACTGAATATATTTGTAGAATACTTTGCTAGTTACATTCTCTATTTGACTGTTTTTCTACTTGCTTAAGTCCTTTGCTTTTATAGCAAATTCAATTTTTTTCCTATTTCTTTTTTTTGTTTGTTTGTATCCTCAAAGAATTGGAATTTTTAATCAATTTTTTCTTTACCATTTAGTTAGTGTATCTATATATATATATATGTCAATTCGGTTTAGTCACTCAGTCCTGTCTGACTCTTTGTGACCCTGTAGACTGCAGCCTGCCAGGCTTGTATATATATATATATATATATATATATATATATAAGTATTTGCAAAATCGAACCCATGTCTCTTGAGTCTCCTGCATTGGCAAGCAGATTCTTTACTGCTGAGACATCTAGGAAGCCCCTCTTTTGCATACTCGGTGTTATTAAATCGCTCTTAGCATATATTCTACTACTTTCCATATCGAATATTCCTCACTGTTCCTTTCCTTCTCTGGTGATTAGATCTATTTCTAAAAGTTGCCTCAAAATAACTCTGTGTTAAGGCAATCTTTACACTTGATGAAAATCACCTTTGTCTTCCATATATGTATTTGAATCCTTTTGTCTCTGTGTAATGGAGCTTCCCAGGTGGCTGAGCCAGCAAAAAATCTGGCTGCAATGCAGATCTCGTTTTGTCTCCCGCTGGAGAAGATCCTCTGGAGAGGGGAATGGCAACCCACTCAAGTGTTCTTGCCTGGAGAATCCCATGGACAGAGGAGCCTGGTGGGCCACAGTCTATGGGGTCGCAAAGAGTCAGACGTGACTGAGAGACTGAGCATGTGCACACACACACAGGTCTTTGTGTAAGAGGAAGTGATAATTCAGGTACTACTTCCTCTCAATATTTTAAAAGATTTTCTCTCATTTAATTTTATCCCCAAGATTTTGGTAATCTACAAGTGAATTAGTGGTTTTTGCAGGCCAAAATCTTGGCTTTCTCTGCCCACCAAAGCTGAATAAAATATACAGAGACAGAGTTTGGAGGAAGTAGAAAGGTGACTTTAATTCTCAGCTGGCAGAGGGGGAACACAGCAAGCTAATGCCTCAAGAACTGTACCTCTCTCCATGAGGAGTCTAGGGGATGTAGGAGACAGAAGTGACCCAGGTTGGATGTTTACAACTAGCCCCCTGTTTACATGTCCTGAGACAAGAGATGGGTGACCTCCAGTTGAGGAATTTATAACCAGCCTCCTGTTTGCCCTCCTAAATGGAAGTAACAACAGAAATAGGCAGTCTTTGTCTCTTGCAAACATCTCAGGGAAGTAACCATGGCAAGGACAAAGGGAGACGAAACTTGGTCTGAGTAAAGGATGAAGGGATTTCTGTTCCTCCCTCTTTTTGGGACAAGGGAGACACTGCACATGCTCAGAAGGGCTCCTTGTGGGTCACAAGTCAAAGGATGATACCAGACTATAATGAGTCCTGTTCCTCCCAGAAGCCTTAACTTCAAAATCTATCTTGGCTGAGGGGGTGTGTGAACCTGTACCCCAAGTGAGGGACCCAGGGTAGGTCAGGTGTGGAATAAAAAAGCAGGTAATTGTCCTGAAGAAAAATGAAGACCCAGAAGAACTGGCTTGTATAAGTGTTTAATCCTCTCACTGGGGGGACGCCCACACTCTTTCTCTCTGGGTGTGCATCTCTGCCTTGCTTCTACCTCAACTAAGCAAACCATTACTCTATGTGCACTCCCACTTGTTGTTCTGTGTCTATAATAATAAACCTTGTACCTACATTTATACTTTCTGCCTCTCTGATAAACACATTTTTCAGTGGGAGAAAAAATTCAGAGAAGAGCAGCTTCTAGTCTATAACCCTTGCTGGTTTGGTGGTGAGAAATGAAAATGTCTCCTGCCATATCAATAAACAAGACATGTCACAGCCATCATTGATTTCTGGCCTCCAAGTGTGAATGTAAACTCCCCAATCTATGATCCAGCAGATGCTGCCACCTGCAAGTTGATTGCTGAGGAGCAGGGGGAATGCAAGAAGCAAGGTGAACAAGGAAACACGATTGGCACCAGATAGCTGAGATGCATATGAAAGGAATGAATTCAGTGAGCCCAGAGGCTTGCATTTTCTCATGCATAAAATGGTAAATTCCTTGACTTGATACCTGATCTTTGATGTTCAGACTGCCTGCTCCCTTTGTTGCAAACTTGTACATAGCCTGACTTCCACTCCTGCCTCCTTGGAGCAGTTTTCTCAGAGTTACTGAGATTCTATCTCCCTGGCTGAGTCCTTAACATTCCCACCAAATAAAATAACTCTCTGCTTTCAGGCTGTGATTATATTTTTTAGTGAACAGTGGCTAGGATTCCTGGTTCTCATCCGGGATACCCAGGTTCAATTCCTGGGCAGGGAATTTAGATCTTGCTTCATGCCACTGCTCACTGCTCCCTCACTGAGATCACAGGGGCTTATATAAGATGAAGGCTCACAGTCAAGGGGTTGGTGATGAGGAACAAATGTGCAAGGATCTTGTCTTCTTCCTTCTATTGTTTCAAAAATGGCCATAGGCTGGCATCAGTAACCTAGTAATTGAGTCTGGCAGTCAGGGGACTCTATGACCTTCTTTCTGATATGTAAAAAGAATCAAAATGGGGAGAGTTCTGTAAAGGTAAGCACTAGATAAAGGATGCATTTAGCATAGAGTCAAAGGATAGTTAGGGTTAGAGTTAGGGTTAGATAGGTAAGCCTGGAGTGCTGCTGTCCATGTGGTCACAAAGAGTATGACATGACTCAGTGACTGAACAACAGCAGAAAAGGATAAAAGATGCAAAATGTAGCTCCTGTAGACTTTGGGGGCAGAAAGACAAAGTCAGTTAAAGATACAGATTAGGAACAGTTGAAATAAAAACTAAAGGATGTTCAGGCCTGCTCACTGTTATCCGTATCTGCTTGATTCTCAGGAAAGGGACAGGAAAAACTCATTCCTCTTTTATTCCCCTTTCACTGCAACATGACCCACACTGATATTAAATTATAACTAACATATATGTGTGTATATATATATACACACATATATGTATACATATATAGAGATTGGTTTTGGATCTATCAGTTTTGTTTCATATAGTCTTCTAAAATTGAATTTCATAAGTTCTGAAAGTACATAACTTTGATAAGGGGACTCCGTGTCTTGAAGCTTCAGCAGTAGCAGGAAGGCCATCTCATTTTTCTACATCTTCTGACACCATCTCTCTTCTCTCACCCTCCTGCTCATGTCCCTCATTAGAGTGGCTTCCTTTTCTGGACTGGACCATCTTACATGGGCACTTTCCAGGCCCTTGCACTGGCTTTTCCCTTGCCAGGTACACACTTTCCCAGTTATGTGAGCATCACTGGCTCTCTCCTCTTTGCAATCTGCTCAAATATCACCTTGTTCGAAGTTTCTTCCTGAACATGTAATTAAAAATAGCACCCTTCCCTGACTCTGTCTATTATATCTGCTTTATCTTCATAGCATCAATAACCACTGGACACACTTCATATTGTTTTTTATTTGCTTCTATTCTCCATAACTGGATCTTGGAATTTTTGTTTTTCAGAACCCTGCATTTATTGCATGTACAGTACCTGGTCTTTGTCTCAATTCAAGACAAATTCCTCAAATACATGAAAGAGTTTCTCATTAAAAACTTGAATACATGACATCTTGAGGAAAAACCTGCTAATTAGAGATGGCACAGGGAAATCCCTAAAATGATTCAAATCCATGAACAAAATACTGAAATTAACTTCTTCATGGCAAAAGATATAAGGTCTCATTTAAAAAATGTGAATAATGCCAGTTTGTGTGAAATCAGTCACGATATTTACCTGTTACCTGGTAATCATACCCACCGTGTAACAGCACGGAACCAAACAGGAAGCTCAGAATTTCTTCTTATGGGGTTTTCTGAGTCACCTGAACTGCAGCCCCTCATATTTGGGCTTTTTCTCTCCATGTACCTGATCACTGTGTTTGGGAACCTTCTCATCATCCTGGCCATCAGCTCAGACTCCCAGCTCCACACCCCCATGTACTTCTTCCTCTCCAACCTGTCCTTTGTAGACATCTGCTTCACCTCCACCACCATCCCAAAGATGCTGTGGAACCTCCAGACACAGAGAAAAGTTATAACCTATGAAGGCTGCATTATGCAGATGCAGTTTTTCACGCTCTTTATAGGATTGGATGTCTTCCTCCTGACAGTGATGGCCTATGACCGCTTTGTGGCCATCTGCCACCCCCTGCACTACACCGTCATCATGAACCCCCAGCTCTGCGGACTGATGGTGATGCTGTCCTGGATCATCAGTGTCCTGAACTCCTTGTTAGAAAGCTTAATGATGTGGAGACTGTCCTTCTGTACAGTCTTAGAAATTCCCCATTTTTTCTGTGAACTCAATCAGATGATCCAACTTGCCTGTTCTGACACCTTTCTCAACAATTTGGAGATGTATTTTAAAGCTGTGTTTCTGGCTGGTGGTTCCCTTATATGTATCGTTTACTCTTACTCTAAGATAGTTTCCTCCATACATAGAATCTCATCTGCTCAGGGGAAGTATAAAGCATTTTCCAGCTGTGCATCACACCTCTTAGTTGTCTCGATGTTTTATTGTACAGGCTTAGGTGTTTATCTTAGCTTGGCTGGTACTCACAGCTCACACTCAAGTGCAACAGCCTCGGTGATGTAAACTGTGGTCACACCCATGCTGAACCCCTTCATCTACAGTCTGAGGAACAAAGACTTAAAGAAAGGTCTGAGAAAACTCTGGAAAGGTGATTTTAAAAGGTCCTATTGTCATAGATCTTAAGAAGAAGTACCTGTAGTAGCAGAGCTCAAACACTGAGCCCAGTGTTGCCACTGTTTGGTCAGATTGTGGAAATAGAGGATGCCTCTTCTATTTTTCTTGAAATTTTTATTTTGGTTTCAACTTTATACAATTTATGTAACTCACTTTTATGCTTTGTGATGTCTGACATCCAATATTTCTCCCTTTTAAGTTTCCTACTCTCCCATATTTCCAGTTTTGTATATAAAACATTGGAAATTCCCATTTATCTCAAGGTGCTAGATAGATCTCTTAAGAATAATTTCTCCTCAGATGAAATACTAAGGCTAGAGTGAGCATTGTTTTCTTTCACTTGACTAAAAGAAGAGTTATGAATTATTCAACCCCTATGGGGAAAGAACCCTACTTTGGGCATTCACAACTCTTAATAAGTTTATGACAGAGGAAAACTGAGAATGTAGTTTTAATTTTTCTCAACATCATTCTGTGTATGTCCCTGTCCTAATTACTCTTCTTGATAATACAAATTTTAAATTACTTGTTGTTATCACTGGTCATAGGATATTTTTCTACTAGTTACGACCTTGGTCTGATATACAGCTGCTGTCCACTGTGTCTTCCATCATTACTGGCAAATACTGATATTACATGTTTCCAAGTGAAATTTACACTGAAAGACAAATATGAAAAAATAGATTGATATAATATGACCTTAGACTTGACTTTACGTAAGATGAAGCAAAATATGAAATCATGCATTTATTACTATGCAAATTCTATACTTTTCAGGTGATTCATAGATTCATTAAAATATGGACTATGAGTATCTGTTTGAAAGGTACATTCTTGACTGGTGTATAATGGTACCTCATTGTGGTTTTGATTTGCATTTCTCTGATAATGAGTGATGTTGAGCATCTTTTCATGTGTTTGTTAGCCATCTGTATGTCTTCCTTGGAGAAATGTCTGTTGAGTTCTTTGGCCCATTTTTTGATTGGGTCATTTATTTTTCTGGAGTTGAGCTGCAGGAGTTGCTTGTATATTTTTGAGATTAATCCTTTGTCTGTTGCTTCATTTGCTATTATTTTCTCCCAATCTGAGGGCTGTCTTTTCACCTTGCTTATAGTTTCCTTTGTTGTGCAAAAGCTTTTAAGTTTCATTAGGTCCCATTTGTTTATTTTTGCTTTTATTTCTAAAATTCTGGGATGTGGGTCATAGAGGATCCTGCTGTGATTTATATCGGAGAGTGTTCTGCCTATGTTCTCCTCTAGGAGTTTTATAGTTTCTGGTCTTACATTTAGATCTTTAATCTATTTTGAGTTTATTTTTGTGTATGGTGTTAGAAAGTGTTCTAGTTTCATTCTTTTACAGGTGGTTGACCAGTTTTCCCAGCACCACTTGTTAAAGAGGTTGTCTTTTTTCCATTGTATATCCTTGCCTCCATTGTCGAAGATAAGGTGACCATAGGTTCGTGGATTTATCTCTGGGCTTTCTATTCTGTTCCATTGATCTATATTTCTGTCTTTGTGCCAGTACCATACTGTCTTGATGACTGTGGCTTTGTAGTAGAGTCTGAAGTCAGGCAGATTGATCCCTCCAGTTCCATTCTTCTTTCTCAGGATTACTTTGGCTATTCAAGGTTTTTTGTATTTCCATACAAATTGTGACATTATTTGTTCTAGTTCTGTGAAAAATACCGTTGGTAGTTTGATAGGGATTGCATTGAATCTATAGATTGCTTTGGGTAGTATAGCCATTTTGACAATATTGATTCTTCCAATCCATGAACACGGTATATTTCTCCATCTGTTTGTGTCCTCTTTGATTTCTTTCATCAGTGTTTTAGTTTTCTATGTATAGGTCTTTTGTTTCTTTAGGTAGATATACTCCTAAGTATTTTATTCTTTTTGTTGCAATGGTGAATGGTATTGTTTCCTTAATTTCTCTTTCTGTTTTCTCATTGTTAGTGTATAGGAATGCAAGGGATTTCTGTGTGTTAATTTTATATCCTGCAACTTTACTGTATTCATTGATTAGCTCTAGTAATTTTCTGGAAGAGTCTTTAGGGTTTTCTATGTAGAGGATCACGTCATCTGCAAACAGTGAGAGTTTCATCAGCCCAGGTTGGGTGCATGAGACAGGTGCTCGGGCCTGGTGCACTGGGAAGACCCAGAGGGATCGGGTGGAGAGGGAGGTGGGAGGGGGGACCGGGATGGGGAATACATGTAAATCCATGGCTAACTCATTTCAATGTATGACAAAAACTACTGCAATGATGTAAAGTAATTAGCATCCAACTAATAAAAATAAATGGAAAAAAAATTAAAAAAAAATTTGCCATGACATAGCAAAAAAAAAAAAAAAAAAGAAAGAAAGGTACATTCTTTAAGTTGAAGAACTGGTGGGATATTTTTTAAATTATTTTTTATTCCTGATTAGAAATTTCCAGCGCTTTCAGTAATTACTATTCTTTCCATTTCTCTTAATAAAATATCTGCATCTATTCATAATTTTGTCAGATCTCTGTGGGAGCAGAGAATGAACAGTATCAATAATATCCATTAAGTATTAGCCTCATTATTAAAGGATGACACTTAGAAAACTCAGATTCTCTTCAGATATGTGATTTGGGGATGTAGGTGTTGTGCAAACATCCATATCTTTCCAACCTCGCCATGGGGCATCAAAGGGATCCCACTGAAGTCCCTTTTTCATGGAGCTATATGAAACAAACTTGAACAACTGAGTGATTATGAATGTTATCTTCAACTATCAGAACCAGTTCCTGGAATACATAGAATCAGTTTATTATTATTGTTCTCAGTTTAATCCTGTTTGATTATTTCACCAGTTAGCTATTGCTGCATGCAAACTTGCCTAAAATAAAATTGTTTAATATAGCATCTCTCTTTTCAAACAAGATGGAACAGTGTGATATTGTTCTGATCTCTGCAGAGCTTCTCATGATTCTGTAGTCGGGCATGAATCTCCACCTTGTATTTCAAAGGCTCATCCGTGATGTTGTGTGTGGTTGTACTGTACTTCAGTCTTGAAGAATTTGTCACTGAACAACTTTCATGTGTAGAGGGTTAGCTTCTAATCTGCAAGGGGAAATACATTGATTAAATGTGAATTACCTTAATTTGACTACCTTAATACACACATATGAAACCTTAATTTTGGTCAGTTAGAAGAGATATCTCCCATCCCAGTCAGCTGTGACTCAGCTATATTTTCTCCAGTTCCTACCTTGGCATAGACATTACATTTTTAAATTTATTAAAGCAAAATTACAAGCAGTAAACTGTACTCATTTAAAGTGTACCAGGTGAAGAATTATAAAGTCATTTAGCAGTTTAGAGTATGTACTGCCTGCTTCCATCTTTATACAACTTGAGAAGGTTTATGAGAATTTTACTGTTTTATTATGTATTTTTTAGAAATGTAATTCCCCAGACCGCTTTCCTTATTTCTAAAGGTAATATGAAAAAAATTAGCATAATTTGTGAAGAAGGATGCTGTGAGAAAACTATAAAAGTACTTGTGTAGTCAAAAGAACACATTCAAAATTATGAAGTATGTACATGTGTGTGTTATTTATGTATTTATTCTCTCAATTAAGCACACTTGTTAAAGATAGAGTTGGATAATTAAATACTTTAGAAATATCACTAGAGGGTTAAAGATAGAGAGGGGATTTTAAGGGAATTTTGGAAACTATTGTAAGCTAAAGACCACTCAAGAAAAGAATTTAATAATCAAGCAACAATATCCATATGTAGTTAAAGAATAAGACAATGGGTTTAGGATCTACATACTGTTACACAAAATCAAGAAGATAATGGTCCTTAAAGAGTAGCATTTCTGCATGAAGCCAAGACAGGCATATAGGTGAAAAGGGAAAGAAATTAGGTGAAAGCAGACTTTATAATAAAACTTGAAATTAATAACCATATTTTAGTATATGTCATCACACTTTTGCTAATATATTATTTCAACAGCACCTTGATAGTACTGATTAGACCACACAGGCTCAAAGTGAGGCAGGACATAGATGGGCTCCAGGTTAAACATTTACAACTGGCCTCCTGTTTGCATTTCCTGAGACAAGAGATAGGTGGGCTCCAGTTTAAGGCATTTACAATCAGCCTCTTATTTGACCTCTGAAACGGAAGTGACAACAGAAACAGGGTAAATAGCCAGTCTTCACCTCTTGCAAACACCTTAATGAATAGTCATGGCAGGGACAAAGTGAAGGATTAAGGGATCTCCACTACCCCCTCCCCTTCTCCCCACCCCAGCTTTTAGGGCAAGGGAGACCCTGCACATGCTCAGAAGTTTCTCTGGGTCTCAAAACTCAGGGGATAATGCCAGGCCGTAAAGAGTGTTGCTCCTCCCAGAAGCCTTCACTTTGAGATCCATCTTGGCTGAGAGGTGCAGGTGCATCCAAGGCAGAGTCCCAGGGTAGGTCAGGGTGGATAAAGAGGCCAAATAATTGGCTGAAGGTAAATAAAGACCAGGGAGAACTGACCCATATAAATCACTTAACCACCTCTTTACTGTGCTCCTCCTCACTGGAGGGATGCCCAAACCATTTCTCTCCAGCTGTGCATCTCTGCCTTGCTTCTATCTTAACTAAAAAAGCATTTCTCTATGTGTTCCTCCACTTGTTATTGAGCTATGTCTCTAATTGCAAACTTTGTACCTACATTTACAGGTGAAGTTCTAGAATTCAGAAGTCAAAACTCATTTATTGAGCCAAATACAAGATGTCTGGGAAATCTGGGATCCATGTGGACACTCCAGGGGAAAAGGTCTTGCCTTCCTAGATTATTTTCTAGGGGCACCTTAATTCCTTGTCTCATGGTCCTTCCTCATCTTCAAAGCCAGCAGTGTAGCAT